GGGCAGATTTTAGCATATCGTGGTTGAGTTTGCTCAGAGCCTCGTTATCATAAATGGGGGCTTCAGAATTAATGCCCACATATACTAGCCGCAAGATGTTGTTTTTTGACCGTCTGAATTTAGCTATTGTTTTTAATAACATATTCCGGTCTGCTGCAGTTAGAAACTTAATAATTATTGCAGGATCACTCCTAGATTGCTACGACTTCGGTAAACGAAACATACTTTTTATGGGAGGTGGTTGGATATCTAGAGTGAAAGCGAGGTGGTGGAAAATATTCTGCAAACTTTCATTTTCTTCCTGTGGTATACCATGCACGCGGACATCACATGCAGCTATAAATTTTCCTGTTTGGCCATGTGCATCTTTACGGCGGCTAACTCGGCTTCAAGGACTCCGATACGGTCGAATGCTGCCCCCTAAAGGGTTAGTTAGGGTGTGTAGTTCCTATTAAAAAGGGTAATATACACGAAGTTAAAATTCAGGCTCAAAATGAAGATATTTTCGTAAAATTACCAATGAATTTGATAAGTGTAAGAAATCTTATTACACTTATCAACTTAAAAGTAGTGGATAGAAGTTGTCATAAAAGGCATCGAGTCCAGCGTGAACTCACTAGAGATAGATTACAGAGCTTGTCTGATAGAAGAAGTTACTTCTCAATAATGTTTATATACAATGTCCTTAATGGTTTAGTAGACTGTAGTGATATTTACGATTTGCTAAACCTCCATTATCCTAAACATGAATTGAGGCAGGTTAGAGTTTTTACGGTCGCTGTACATGAATCTAATTATGCATATAATGAGCCTATATCAAGATGCATCCGACTATGTAACACTTATTCCGAAGTTATAAATCTTAATTTAAATGTATTTAACTTCAAGTTGAATTTATTTATAATGTTTAACTAGTCTAGTAGTCTTTAAGAACCTTTGTAGATGAATAAATAATAAATAAAATGCTCTTAGGGAAGAAGATTTTAAGGTGCGCAATGTTTTCAACATCAAAAATAAAGAAAACATTCCTCAACCGATGTTCAAAATATAGCTAGAACCTGGCTTTCATAGCCTGAAAAAGGGGAGGTGCATCAAATATATCAATTGCGATATCTTCTACACCGTAAAATCTCCATTGAAGAACCCCATAAGCGTAGAGGCCCTGTTCAATGTCACAACTGCCAGGAATTTGGTCATACATGTCGCTACTGCACCTTACCTGGTATCTATGTTATCTTCTAAAGAATGTGTGAAACCAAAAATGGACCCGAAATCCATAAAGTGCAATAACTGCGGTGGAAATTACACTGCTAATTATAGACGTTGTCCAGTTTATATCTCAATGAAAGAGAATACAATTCGCAAAAATATTCCTATTAGGCATAACCCCGTACCCGACATCGACGAGCCAATGCCTGCGCCAACGAGCGTAAATAATTTTACTTCATATGCACATATTCATAAAAATACTTTCCAACACAAAGTCGTAGCTGATCCTTTTTTCGAGATATTCATATTTTTATATTTTACTTTTTAAACGGAATAATCCTTGTTTTTACTAATACTTATCATTTTAAAAATGCAGTAATCGTATAAAAATTTAATATAAAGAGTATTAGGCATATGTATATACAGGGTGTCGAAGAAGTAACGTGCCAAACTTTAGGGGAGGGTAGGTGGGAGGGGTGAGCTCTCTGATAAACAAAAAATTTTCAGGTAAAAGTATCACCGTTTTTGAAATATTTACATTTTTTTGAATTTAAAAAAATCGTGCCTTTTCATGTATTTTCTTTAACTGCATACAAACCAGGCTATACTTAGTAAATTTTTTATGTAAAATAGTTCCAGATAGTTGCTTCTCCATACTCAAATGCAATGAGTTAAAATATATTAAGGAACCATCATAAAATTAGGACTATTTTGGGATTTTTAACTTTTTGATATTTTCTTCCCCAACTTTGACTATCTCTCTGGTGAAAAAAATGTACTGAGCTATAACTTTACATTACATAAAAAAATTGCTCATTTAATAAAGATTTCAGAAAGGTGTCAGGCGCAGGTAATAATGTACCTTTGTACTATTTAGCATGTCATTGGTCGGTAATAAGAGCTGTTCAAGTGAGTGACTAGCGCACGCACCCCGCATTAACCATTCGTATTTATTGAAGTATCTAGACTTGAACTATTTCTATGAAATGTAACTTTTTTGAACTAATAATTAGCTCGCAACGGGAACACCCCTATCAGCCAACCGGGTAGTTGACAACGCGTGCGCTACTCGCTCACTTGAACGATCGCCGGCTGTCAAAATATAAATATATATGTACAAAAAAAAGAAGAAAATTTGTGAAGGTTAGATCTTCATATTGTACGGTGGTGCCTCTTGTGAATTCATTAAATAAACCTCTTTTGAACTAATTAAATAAATTGTACCTAAATTGTGAGACCAAACAAAGTATTTTCTTAACACCTACAAGCGAAAGTAGTTTACGCGTGTGGAAAACAAAAGCATAGAAGTGTGGAGTACTTTCGGCATTTGCGTAGCCGAAACAACCAGCAAAGCAACCAAGCATTCTGCAGGTGCAATATAGCACGTAGCTATCGATTGCAACACCACCAGCGGTGACTCCAGCCAGTCGAGCAGAAAACCCCCGGAGCAGCATCTATACCTTCAAGCGAAGACAACGCATCGCCTTCCCGTCGCCCATATCCTCCAGCCAGTGCCACCCGATATCCGCCGCTCCGTCGCCCACAGCTAACGCAGCCCTCTTGCACGCTGCGATTTTGGTCCTTCTTCGCCTCCTTTTGACACCAGCCCGCAACAGTCCAGGCGGATCATCATCATCACCCATATAAGTACCCAAAGCCCAAATAAAGCCGTAAGTAAGAAACGAATTTCTTTTAACCCCACTTACACCCAAAAAAGAAAAAAAACATACATATATATATAAAAGAAGCAATATTTGTGGAGATCTCATATATAAATATTCATATTTTCCCGCGCAATCAGCAAACGGTGCATATTTCTATATGTATTTTCGAACAAAGTGAAAATAACTGCGAGTATTTACTTGCTCTCTCATTTTTTTCCACACATAAATTTTGATATATGAGCGCGCATACATATATGCACACACATAAACGTTCACTTAAATATTAAGTAGTTAAAAATTAATAAACTTCACAAATATCAGCTTATCTCTAGCCCCTCATAAAATATTAATATATACTTATATACCTATACATATATACATTACATATATACAAATATAACAAAAAGTGCGGTACCGTGATTGAATTTTTTGCTCAAGCGGGTACAGTGGTACGAACACATATTTCGAAGCGACAAATTTTTCTATTACTTCTCGTGTTGCGAACACTATATTGCGGTCATTTTATTTCGCATAACTGATCAACTCACTCCCCTTTTCCCTTGAATTAATAANCTGATAACTGATCAACTCACTCCCCTTTTTCCTTGAATTAATAAATGCTTGATGCCCCTCAAATAGATAAATCAAAAAGCCCAAAGATGAGTGCCCAAGGTACTTCCACGGAGTCCCAACGCTCAACGCGTACAAGTGGAAAGTCAACCTCGAAGAAATCCAAGCAATCGTTCGCTTCTATCAAATTTATATCAGAAACTGATAATTTCATGGACTACTGTACTCGTTTCAAGTCCACCCCAATCCAAGACAACACCGAGTCAAGTCTGAAAATAAAAGACAATAATTGCGATAACTTTTGGAATCGGGTCCAAATCTCTTACGATACGGTCTTAGAAACTGAAGATCAGGATCTCCCCGAAGATTTCAAGTCAGCCGCGTACAATAAATACAGGTCTTGTCTTATAATGTATGAAGACACAAAAGCCCAGATAGGTGACCAACTTCTGTTACTCAAACAAACGAGTGATCCCATTCCCCATGCCGGTACATCACAACCTAAAGATGAAACTGGCTTCGGCTTAAAAGTCCCTCCTTGCGACACTGAGATATTTTACGGGGGTTATGAACAATGGCCGTCCTTCCGTGACATGTTCACCGCGGTCTACATTAACCACCCGAAACTCACAAAAGCTCAGAAGTTGTACCACCTCCGGTACAAAACGCAAGGCAAAGCCGGCCAAATAGTCAAACAATTCCCGTTAAGTGATGACAACTTCGAACTGGCATGGGAAGCCCTAAGAGCACGATATGAAAATCGCAGAGTCTTGGTAGATAACCAAATAAAAACCCTAATGAATTTGAAACCAATTCAAGTTGAAAATAGCGAGGATATACAGAGATTACAATCTTCTGTAAATAACTGCCTTCAAATCCTCGCTACCCAGCAAGTTTCGACAGAGAGTTGGGACCCCATCCTCATCTATCTGGTCACCTCCAAACTTCCGGAGAACACAGTAACTCTGTGGGAACAATCTCTCATCTCCAGAAAAGACCTCCCCAACTGGTCCCAGATGAACCAGTTTCTGACTACTCGCTATGAGGTGGTAGAAAGAGTAGATCAATGGCGCCCAGCCAAGGTTAAATCGATCCCCCCGCATACGAGCTACCCCAAACAAAACCCGTACGCATTTAAGAGCAATAATTCACATGACACTCACAATAAATCCCATCCAAAGATCCAATCTCATATGACAGAGCAGCGCACAATGTATAAATGTGCATTATGCAAAACCTCTCAGCATCCCATTTACAGCTGCTCTCGCTTTAAAAAACTGTCAATTCAGGATCGGAAAAAATTTGTGAGAGATAATCACATGTGCTTAAACTGCTTATCCCAATCGCATTTAATTAAAGATTGCAGAAGCCCTCACAATTGCGCTCATTGCCAAGAACGGCACAACTCATCACTCCATGATGACGCACTCTCAAAAAATTCATCAACTCCCCGAGTGCATAAGGCCTCATCTCAAGTGGCAACTACCACCTCCACCAGTGCCAGTCTCCAAACTCCCCAGTNCGTGTTCAGATAAGTCCCAGGTACAATCCTTCTACTCAGAAAATTCAAGTAAAGTACTACTCCCCACGGCAATCGTCTCCGTTGAACAGAGAGGTGAACTCTTCAAACTAAGAGCCCTCATTGATCAGGGCTCAGAACGGAGCTTCATCTCCTCCAAAGCGCAACTCAAATTGAGACTACCATGTCGAACCTCCAATTTCGAAATCTCAGGAATGGGTGGAAGGGTAGTCCAAACCTCGAAAAAATTATGCTCTCTGGTTCTTGTCTCAAACGATTTATCCACACGGATTAAAGCACAAGCAATCGTCCTCCCACAGCTAACCAAATTGCTACCCAAGTTCCAACCCACTCAAGAACAACGGGAAAAATGGTCTCATCTCACCTTAGCAGACGCCAATTGCCACTCCCCATCCGAAATAGACTTAGTCATTGGCAGCGACCTGATCCCACAAATCGTGCTAGAAAGGGTTGAAAAACTCTCCAAAAACCTATTAGCACAAAACACCATATTTGGGTGGATCCTTAGTGGTCAAGTTCCCAATCAAATAAGCTCGTTTTCGACCCAAGTAGACGAAGTCTCAAATGAGAATCTCGATTCCCAACTTCGAAAATTTTGGGAACTGGAAGAAATCCCCACTCCCAAATCTCTCAACTCTGAGGACCGAGTGTGTGAAGATTTTTATATATCCACCACATCACGCACATCTGATGGTCGTTACGAAGTGCGACTCCCATTTAAGCACAGTTTCCCAGACCAACTCACCTTAGGTCGATCCCGTGCCCCAGCTCTCCAGCAATTCCTCAGTATGGAGAAAAATCTTCTCAAAAAAGGCGAGCTAAAATCCCAGTACGACCAAGTCCTCGAGGAATATATAACACTAGGTCATATGGAAGAAACAACTTCCTATGAGAAATCCTCAGGAAACAAATACTCGTCATTTTATTTACCCCACCACGCGGTTGTAAAACCTGAAAAAAGAACGACAAAGGTGCGTGTTGTCTTTAATGCATCGAAAAAATCAACTTCCGGTAACTCGTTAAACGATGTCCTCTACACCGGGCCAACCCTCCAACCCGATTTGATGCTATTAATCCGCAAATGGCGCACGTACCAATTTGTCTTTAATGGCGATGTAGAAAAAATGTACCGCCAGATACTATTACATGATGAGGACCAAGACTACCAGAGAATCATATTTCGCTCCTCCCCAAAAGGTCCAATTCAAGATTTCAAACTAAAAACCGTTACATTTGGTCTCAACTGCGCCCCTTATCTCGCAATACGCACCCTTCACGAACTCTCTAAAGATATAAAAGACACACTCCCGATGGCGTTCCCAATACTAATGAGCGAAACATATGTAGACGACATACTNTCCCAATACTAATGAGCGAAACATATGTAGACGACATCATTTCGGGTGGGCACTCTATTCTCTCAGCCTCTGAAACCCTTTCTCAAGTCGGACAAGCTCTTCTGTCGGCAGGCTTCCCACTCAAGAAAATCACGGCCAACCATCCTGATATTCTCAAAACCGTTCCCATCGCCGACGTGCTCGATTCACAGTTTCTCGAATTCGAAAAGGCAAGTACAACTAAAACGCTCGGGATTCAATGGAATGCCATTCATATACCGTTGAGTCCATCCCAGTAGCCACAGCGAGCACGAAGCGACAAATCCTCTCCTCTGTCGCCAAACTTTTCGACCCCGCAGGATGGCTAGCGCCGATAATGATTCAAGCCAAAATTCTCTTGCAGGAGCTATGGCTTGATGGAACCGACTGGGATGAACAGGTAAAACCCATCCGTCTCGTCAAGTGGACGCAGTTCGCGAACAACTTAAAAGCAATAACAGCAATCCAAATTCCTCGTTGGGTGAACTATTCTCCAGGCCAACCTGTTGAGCTGCATGATTTTTGCGACGCGTCTGAGAAGGCATATTGCGCCAATATTTACGTCAGAGCGATACGAGAAGAAAACACAACGTGTCACCTCCTAGTCTCTAAAGGCAAAGTGGCGCCCCTAAAAACCACCAGCTTACCACGTCTCGAATTATGTGGAGCCCTTCTCCTAGCCAAACTAGTGTCTGTCGTCCAATCCCAGCTCAATCTCCACCCGCAAGCTTTGATTTTGTGGTCTGATTCCGAAATTGTGCTCTCATGGTTGAAAAAGCCACCCCATACCTGGAAAACCTTCGTGTCGAATCGAACCGCGCAAATAATCGACCTGGCCGGACATGCCACATGGCGGCATGTACGAACTCACGATAATCCCGCCGACATGGGCACAAGAGGATGTAAACCTCTCTATTTGGCAGCCTCCTCACTGTGGTGGAAGGGTCCGGAATGGCTCACCAGCCCCGCGGAATCTTGGCCGAAAGCTTCACGACGCCCAATCAACAATCCACCCGAAGTTCGCCGAATTGAAGCGTTACATACCACCGAAGAAGAACCCGACATTCTGGATCGTTTCTCCTCCTTCCCACGCGCACTCCGGGTTTTGACTCACGTTTTTCGATTCATACGGACTCTGAAAACCCGAACAAGCCACATAATAGTTCACCCTTTACCTCTGGCGCACGATGACTTCCGAAACACTAAAGTCCAGCTCATCGCCCTAACTCAATCCCGATATTTCTCCAATGAAAAGAGGAATTTGTTATCTTCGAAGCCGATCGATAAACGGAGCCCGCTTCTCACCTTAAACCCATTTTTGGACAAAGATGGACTTCTACGTGTGAACAGTCGACTGGCGCACTCAACGCTAAGCTACAATGAACGCCACCCAATCATTATTTCCGAGAAATCCTGATATGCTGCACACTTTTTACGCTTCCTCAATGAACTGCTCTTACACGCCGAAACCCGTCTTATGCAGCAGGCGATCAGACAGGAGTTTTATATCCCTCGGCTCAAGCCACTCATAAAGAAGTGCATCTTTCAATGCAAACCCTGCACTGTCCACAAGCAGCAAATGCGCTCACAAATAATGGCAGCCTTGCCACCCTCACGATGCACCTTCGCTCCGCCCTTCACCACAACGGGTGTTGATTTTGCTGGCCCCTTTCAGCTGAAGGCTTCCATGCTAAGATCGCCTACCCTCGTGAAAGGCTACGTAGCCGTTTTTGTATGCTTCACGACAAAAGCGGTTCGCCTTGAGTTGTGCTCGAATTTAACTTCAGAGGCCTTTATGGCCGCATTTGCTCGCTTTGTTGGCCGGCGAGGCTATCCCGCCACAATGATGAGTGACAACGGCAAAACCTTTGTCGGTGCCAAAAGATCCACAGAGAAGGAGTTTATCACCTCCTCGAAAGAAGTATCCCGGGAAATCGTCAAAAAATATGCCGCTCAAGGTATAAACTGGAAATTTATTCCCCCCAGCGCCCCTCATATGGGTGGTTTATGGGAATCCGCAGTCAAAAGCTTCAAAACGCATCTCAAGAAGACTGCCGGATCACATAAATTCACTTTCGAAGAGTTTACTACCCTATTAATCAGATTAGAAGCCGTGTTAAACTCACGACCCATCTCTCCCCTATCTCAGGACCCCTCAGATTTTACCGCACTCACCCCCGGACATTTCCTTAAGGGAGGGGGGATCCCTTCCTGAATCGAACCATGAAAACTTATCTCTACTTAATCGGTGGGAAAAGGTCAAAGTTCTACACCATCAGTTTAGCCGACGGTGGAAAGAGGACAATCTTAAAGACCTACACAAACGGTACCGATGGAAAGACACCCGTATTGAGCCGAAAGTCGGTGAGTGCGTCCTCATCAACGACGATACGCTCCCGCCCACTGAGTGGCGCCTCGGACGCATCGAAAGGACACGGCCCGGCCCCGATGGCCACATTCGTGTTGTCGAGGTACGCACTCAAACCGGCATTCTCACACGGCCGATAGTTAAATTATGTTTTTTGCCACCGGCCAAACTTCAACTCAGTCCCAGTTCGACCGAGTAACCCTACACCATCATCGTGATTCGTTACCACTTATACCACAAACCGCTTGATCGTAAATTTGTCTCTCCTCCAATCACCATACGCGCCTTTTCTCCAAAATAACAATTATATACTTCTCTGTCTCATGACCCACGATACTCGATATACGTCCCACTAAAATTATATATCTACACAACTATTTACAGGCGTGAATGGATTCAGCACCCACACCAGAACCAAGAATATCACTCCGCTCGCAGGTGTTTGTGACCGCTAGCGACCGCGGGGGCGCCCAAACCCTGATTATCAGAAGTGCCGAGTTTGCGCGCGTCACCACGCGCTACGAACATGCCCGCTCTTTAGAAGGATGCAGCCAGCGCAGCGGTACTTGTTGGCGCGGGCCCATAACTACTGCACCAACTGTCTGGAACTGTCGCACGCTACCAGCGAATGCACATCCCAGATCACGTGCAGGATATGTGCACTGCCGCACCACACGATGCTTCATCGGGCCCCGCCGCCACCGCAGCCACATCGCCGTACCACCGCACCTCCAATTCAAACACCTCCGACACCTGCATCCCGCTCAAACGCAAAACAAAATCGTCGCAACCCACCTTCCCAGGCCGCTACCCATCGCTACAATCCGACTACAGCCACCATTCCACAACCACGCACCGTCAAACGTTCGGCAACAGGGCTCCATACCGCTGCATTCCGAGAAAAGACGGCAAATCAGCTTATGGATGAGGCCAATAGAGCGCTGGAGCAGTTGAAAGTGGCACTAGCCGTCTAGCGCGCCTAGGCGGGGCAGGATGTTCAAGTGAGTGACTAGCGCACGCACCCCGTATTAACCATTCGTATTTATTGAAGTATCTAGACTTGAACTATTTTTTGAACTAATAATTAGCTCGCAACGGGAACACTCCTATCAGCCAACCGGGTAGTTGGCAACGCGTGCGCTACTCGCTCACTTGAACGATCGCCGGCTGTCAAAATATAAATATATATGTACAAAAAAAGAAGAAAATTTATGAAGGTTAGATCTTCATATTGTACGGTGGTGCCTCTTGTGAATTCATTAAATAAACCTCTTTTGAACTAATTAAACAAATTGTACCTAAATTGTGAGACCAAACAAAGTATTTTCTTAACACCTACAAGCGAAAGTAGTTTACGCGTGTGGAAAACAAAAGCATGGAAGTGTGGAGTACTTTCGGCATTTGCGTAGCCGAAACAACCAGCAAAGCAACCAAGCATTCTGCAGGTGCAATATAGCACGTAGCTATCGATTGCAACACCACCAGCGGTGACTCCAGCCAGTCGAGCAGAAAACCCCCGGAGCAGCATCTATACCTTCAAGCGAAGACAACGCATCGCCTTCCCGTCGCCCATATCCTCCAGCCAGTGCCACCCGATATCCGCCGCTCCGTCGCCCACAATTAACGCAGCCCCCTTGCACGCTGCGATTTTGGTCCTTCGTCGCCTCCTTTTGACACCAGCCCGCAACAGTCCAGGCGGATCATCATCATCACCCATATAAGTACCCAAAGCCCAAATAAAGCCGTAAGTAAGAAACGAATTTCTTTTAACCCCACTTACACCCAAAAAAGAAAAAAAACATACATATATATATAAAAGAAGCAATATTTGTGGAGATCTCATATATAAATATTCATATTTTCCCGCGCAATCAGCAAACGGTGCATATTTCTATATGTATTTTCGAACAAAGTGAAAATAACTGCGAGTATTTACTTGCTCTCTCATTTTTTTCCACACATAAATTTTGATATATGAGCGGGCATACATATATGCACACACATAAACGTTCACTTAAATATTAAATAGTTAAAAATTAATAAACTTCACAAATATCAGCAAAAACAACGTACAGTAGCACGTTCATCAACGGAGGCCGAGTATGTGAGCTTGGCAGAAGCAGCAAAAGAGGCAGTCTACTTGCGTAGTCTCTTAAACGAGATAGGTCTTCAAGAGCTCACCGATATTAAAATCTATGTGGACAACAGAGGGGGGCAGTGTTTGGCGAATGATCCAGTTTTTCATGCGCGGACCAAACACATAGATATCAAGCATCACTTTGTAAGAGAGTGCATCAGCGCACGGTTATTCTCATTGAAGCACGTACCTACACAGGAGATGATTGCAGATGTTATGACGAAACCGTTGGCGCGAGCAAATCACGAGAGATGTCTTATCGGACTTGGTTTACCCACTTAGATGACCTGCATATTGAGAGGGCGTGTTGAAGATATTGATTTTGTATTCATTTACCTAACACTATGCATGTCAATCTATTACTTTATACATTGTCATTACTCTTTATTTTTGCTTTATTCATCTCTTATTTTGTAACTTTAACCTTCTTCTGGATTTAAACCTCGTGGAGCTAACATTCACTTATAATTTTATCTCAATAAAAATATCGAATTATCTCGGCAATCTCGTCAGTTTACGCGTGTGGAAAACAAAAGCATAGATGTGTGGAGTACTTTCGGCATTTGCGTAGCCGAAACAATCAGCAAAGCAACCAAGCATTCTGCAGGTGCAATATAGCACGTAGCTATCGATTGCAACACCACCAGCGGTGACTCCAGCCAGTCGAGCAGAAAACCCCCGGAGCAGCATCTATACCTTCAAGCGAAGACAACGCATCGCCTTCCCGTCGCCCATATCCTCCAGCCAGTGCCACCCGATATCCGCCGCTCCGTCGCCCACAATTAACGCAGCCCTCTTGCACGCTGCGAAGAGCAACTTAAATTTAAATCTATTAAATACATTTTAGCGTGTCTCAGTCCTTTGCCCACAAAAGCGGCTATAACTTTTTTTCTATTCGAAACAGTAAGAGTGGCACCTCTCTGAAATCTTTATTAAATGAGCAATTTTTTTATGTAATGTAAAGCTGTAGCTCATTACATTTTTTTCACCAGAGATAGTCAAAGTTGGGGAAGAAAATATCAAAAAGTTATAAATACCAAAATAGTCCTAATTTTGTGATGGCTCCTTAGTATATTTTAACTACATTGCATTCGAGTATGGAGAAGCAACTATCTGGAAGTATTTTACATAAAAAATTTACTAAGTGTAGCCTGGTTTGTAGATGCAGTTAAAGAAAATACATGAAAAGGCACGATTTTTTTTTAATTCAAAAAAATGTAAATATTTCAAAAACGGTGACACTTTTACCTGAAAATTTTTTGTTTATCAGAGAGGTAGGTGTTGGGACTACCTTCCCCTAAAGTTTGCCACGTTACTTCTGGGACACCGATGTATTTGCAAAAACGCCCATCGACCAATTGCAAAACCGCCTATCTTACGGCACTCAAATTTTACAGCGAAAAACCGGTACCTGGAGTTCAGGTTTACCAAATCTAATTTTTGCCACGACGGCGATTTAGACAGTTTTGCGAAAACATCGACGATATACACATATATATACAAATGTAAATATTTCATATTAGAATTAGATGCAGCCGTAGGGCTAATAACATTAAAAACATTAAAACATTAGAAATTTGAAGTTATTGTAATTTCTGGCAAAGTTGACCCTTCACTAGACCAGAACTTCCTAAATAGAATCCGCGGAACCCAAGGGTTCCGTAGAAAAGTCCCAAGGTTCCTTGTAGTGATTAATTTTTGGCACTTCATTAATTCAAAAGATACATATGTAAGTACAACTCGGTGACCAGCCATCATCGCTTAAAATTCGGCATGAATAAGCATGAAAAGAAAAGAAACGCAAAGAAAAGTTCTATAAACTGCATGACCGAGACGCAATTATCCTTCTTCGAGTATATGTACTCGTAGTTGGTATCATTGCCGTATTGAGTACCATAGCGTTGAGCGTTGCGCTTGTCAGCTTGTTTTTTTCTACTTGTATGTGTTGTTGGCCACTGTAGCCTAAGGATTAGAGGTTTGTTCTACCCCTCCGAATAACCTGGGTCCGAGCCTTTGTCAAAGCAATATCGCAAAAAGTATAGAAACGTTTTTTTTTTACAGCGGTCGCCCCTCGCAGGCAATGGCAAACCTCCGAGTGTATTTCTACCATGAAAAGGCTTCTCATAAAATCCATTTGCCTTTCAAAGGCGATGTAAAACTGTAGCTTCCTCCATTTTTATAACAACATGAAGACGCATACCACAAATTGGAGGAGAAACATACCACAAATTGGATGTCAAACACTAAGCGTGTAAGCGTCAAAATATTATTATTATTGGGGTATCCGGCTTATAACATTTTTAAAAAGATCTGTGGAGTCATCACATTTTTTCAGGGAAAATCAATAGCCGTATTTTTTTTGGAGAGACAAATTATGATACTTTAAAAGAAAATGTATGGAAAAGAAAAGCATTGAATTACCAATGTCAAATGTCAAACTGGGCACTTGGTAAATCTGAAATTTTTGTCAGATTATTTTACGAAGCATTCATAGATCTTCAGAGTTCTTCGACATTGAAACACACATTTCAGTTTGTGTCTCTGAATGAGTTTTGGGTTAGTGTTAGGAGTGAATACCATGAAGTAGCTAAAAAGCCTATCTTAACTTTGCTTCCTTCTGTTACAACGTATCGTTATGAAACATTGTTTTCAGCTTACAATTATACAAAACACCAATTGAGGTCGAAATTGGATGCTGCCCTAGAAATGCGCATACGGATTTTAGACATAATACCGAACTATAAAGCAATAATTAATAAAACAGTTAAACATTTTCATTCTTCACATTAAAAGTTATAATAGTACGTGTGTATATACATAGATATTAGACTGCATCACCAAAAAAAGTTGCGGTTTTCCACCGCGATCACAAAATGTATTATATTTTAAGACGTCCACCAAAATATTTTGAAAAAATATTAAGATTTAAGCGAGCTGAACCGATTTGAAAATACCTCCAAAAATGGAGTTTTATGAATAAAAATAGTTTCTTAAAGAACTTTTTGAAAAAAGTCCCCTCAGATGACAAGACAGATTAGACTTAAAAAATCGGCATAAAAATATTTAAAAATCTTTGCAACGGAATCGTAATAATCAGATTTTTGATGCTGTTTTTTTTTTTACTTTTTTCAAAGATTGATTTACGAAAAACTTGAATAACTGGGCCAAAAATATTCTAATTTAGACTTATGGGATCTCGGTAGAAAGGTATTTTCCCCACTATCTTTATTTATGTGCAAAAAAAAGTCATTCGTGTCCCAATATTTTTTTTTCAAATACCAACACCTCTTAATTCAACTTTGAATTATGTTCGTTCATCCTAGCTTTCTCTTTCATCTTTTCAATGAGATTGTTAGCAAAGAAATAAAAAGGGTGAGAAAATACCTTTCCAATGATACCTCACAAGTCTAAATCGGAAGAGTTTAGGTTCAGTTATTCAAGTTTTTCTTATACCAATCTTTGAAAATAGTTAAAAAACAGCATCAAAACTCTCATTATTACGATTCCGTTCAATTTTTTTTTTATTTATTAATATTTAATTTTATTTAAATTTTTTAAGCTTAAACCGGTTTGTCATATGAGGGGATTTTTTTAAAAAACATCTTTAAGAAACTATTTTTATTTATAAAAAACTCGATTTTTGGAGGTATTTTCAAATCGGTCCAGCTCGCTTAAATCTTAATATTTTTCCGAAATATTTTGGTGGGCGTCTTAAAATATAATAGATTTTATAATTTCAATGGAAAAACATTACCTTTTTTTTTGTATGGGGAGTGATGCAGTCTAATAGATTTGTATATGTACATTTCTAGTAAAAGTTTTTATTCATATTTAAATGGCAGTGCTTTTGATGTTTAGTAATTTGATGTTTGGGTCCATAAAATGAAAGGTATTTAGTGAGGGTTTCATTATATTAAAAGTTTGGGAACACCTGCTCAATACAAGTGCATGAATGAATTGGATATAGCTTTGCAAGCATTAATAACTTTTCCAAAAGATTAAGAATAATTGTTATTCTTGCACATGTTAGAGAATGTTTGAAGTATATAGATGAT